TTTCTTGTTCAAATGGTTTTGTGCACAGCATGGAAGTGTAGGAATGATTGCGATAAAGAAAAAAATTTATTTATTTAAAGTAGGAAGTTTATATACCCTTGCTGCTGTTATATAATTTATATGTTCTATATTTCGATGTTGATCAAGGACAAATAGGAATAAAAAACGATAAAAAATCGACCAAAAATTACAAATCATATTTTTAATGCAGGTTTTTAATATAGTAGGTTTTAGGTCACTTTTCTTTCTTACAGTCGTCCCACTGTGACGCGCTGATATTGCAAACGGCGGAGCAGGATGGTCCTTGTCCGTATCCGGGAATCGTTTCTGGTTGCGAACTAAGCAGAGAAGAGGAGAGTGGCAGAGGCAGAGGCAAGCCCGAGCCAAAGGCAAACATTCCAATTTCATTTGGCTTGCTTTGGGGACCGGGTGGCTTGTTTTAGCCCCTGTTTTAGCTGCCAACTCCAGGCCTTCCATTGTCAACTAATTTCGGAGCGGTCGGAATCAAAGTTGCATTCGCCGTGCCCAAGCCAAGTCCATTATAAACTTTCGCTTTTGGCAGTGCCGTCAAGCTGGAGCAAAACAATGGGATCAGGTGGATTGCACCCGGCCAAAGGAAGTCCCGGGCACACGAGGTGGTTCGAAATGGGGCCAAGTATGGGGCTATTATGGCATTGTTGGCCTGACAAACAGCCAACACGCTGAAGGCCCAAATCCGTGCCGTGATGAGGATCTCGTGCCCTTGGTTTGAGTGTAATTAAATTCCGATTTAAAGTGCAACACCGCTCCGCGGTAAAAATAGTAACTAATGTGCCAAACGAGCCAGCCGTTTCCCATTTTCGTAGTTCACTGGCTCGGCTTAATTTCATTTGGAATCGTTAACGTCCCAAAAATACCGCCTGATAGAAACCAAAATGCGAAAGGTTAAGCTTGCCATAGGTCAAGCGTTGACCCCTTTTTTCCACCGCAGTAGCAGGTGGAAAATCACATTACATATACGTGGGATTTATTTTTTTCGCCCTGCACATTTTGAGTTTACAATTAAATTAGAAACTTTGACTGTGTTTCGTAAAGTTTCGGCGACAGCGTCAGAGCTCCGCCAGTTGGACAAACAGTTTTAGTCCGGGATTCCCGGTCACCCTCCACTGAACAGCCCGACATCTGACGAAATAAAATACGTGACACAATTCCATATGAGAACAAGCACACGAGGGGCAACAACAAGTGCAGCAACTTCTGGCCTGTACGATATAATCCCTGGACTTCAGTGGAGTTCAATGAGCTTTCAAGTCCTGCAAGAGCTAAGCCAGCTGAGAGTTGGCAGCAAGAAATTCATATATCCATCGGCATACAGGGGTTCAAATAAGCAGGCAGTTGTAATTTAATTTGATAGTGCCTTCGATGCAATGTGCAGTTTAATAAGTGAAATGTAATATTGTGATAATGAACTAAGATCGGAATTCGGGCGAATTGCAAATTTAATTGATTTTACTCGAGGTTCAAATTAATTTTAGCTACTGGTTACTGATAATAAATGATTGGGTTTTTCCTGAAGTAGCTAATACCTTATATTTATTTACAATTACAATTACAAACATATACAATTTTTGTACACAAAAAATATGAAGTAAAACACACCAACAATCGATTTTTCAGAAATACGTTCTTAAATTCACATAAAATAATAAGTAAATCTATTAAATCACACAAATATTTAATGGGATATATTTTTTTAATAGCTTACTTTAAAATGATACTTTTCAATATCACGCACAGTCCCCATTTAATCCTTGCTATTTTTTATATTTTGTATACAGTGCACGGTCTACCAAAGAGTTCACTGAACTATAAATGCATGGGATTTTATCTTGCACACACACATATGCACGTTTAAGTGTGGCAGGTGGCAGATGGGGCAGACACTTGGCCCCATTCTTTTTCAATTCGTTTTCGTAGTCTTAGCTGGATTTTATTTATTTATATGGCCAAATGTTGTCTTTCGATTCGGCTGCTTTCATTTCCTAGCCAGCAGCCGACTTCCCTGTTTGCCTTGCCCCCCAGCCCGCTTCTTCCCGCCCAGCTATCTATCTATGGATTTCCCTCTGGCTCGCTGCACTTGCGCTCATTAAACATTTAGCTACATTGTCTGGCGTATCTTGGATGTACAAAATGGGGGAAGATTCTGGCTTAGGCGGGCTGCAGACAAAAGATATGAGGCAAAAGCGCAACGTCAAAAAGGAAATTGTACGCCTAATGGTCATTGCCGGGCCAAATGAAGCTGCCATTGGGTGCCGAGCCGGCTCCTTCTGTCTATTGAAATATTTAAAAGGATTTCTTTTGCTGCCCGGCTGCCTCTTTTAGCCATATCTCTCCATTTTTCCCGGCCGGCAAACGATCTGGGATTAAGCAAATCAAAAAGTCAGTGCCCCAGCACCACTTTTGAACCACCGACATCGACAACTGTGCCCGTTCTTTACACTGAAAACTATATGGATTAAGTTTGTTCCTATTAAGAAAACAATTGTTTTTACGTATTTTGTAAATGGGTCTTCCATGGAATGACCAAACATTATGTGAATATTTTAAAGCGAAATGCCGCCAAATTTTAGATTCGTTTCCAGTTTACTTTTAGGCCATTATCTGTTGAAATGGATTTGGCTTTTAATGATCTTTAAACAGGAAAAAACATTTTTTTTAAGATTTAACATTTTAAAGTACCCAAGAATTAGTGTAGTGCAACTTTGTCTATAAAAAACCTTTAAACTCAAGATAAAATTTACATTCTTTTTTGAGTGATCCAGGGTTTGGGTTCTTGCCCTGGAACGGTTCGCTGTCTCTGCCATCGACGTCCTAGTAACAGTCACAGTTGCAGCTGGACTCGCAGCCTTGTCCGAATGCAATTAAAATGTCAGCGATGCAGAAATGGAGCTGCCCAGGGCGGAAAAATGGACGGCTAACATGCGAGGGCAAAGAGCTCGAATTGGAGTGCGAGTTCCACCTCCGCCCGCAGGACTCCGGTCAAACACGCATTTGCCATGCCAAAAAGACTGGACACTCGACTCCCAACGGTTTTGCAGGACCCACTCAGCTGGATTCGCAAAAACCAAAGGGGAGCGACTGCCACGCCCATACACGCCATTAAGCGCACTTGTGATGTACGTAAATTAATTTACTGTCGGCCATTTATGTTCGCCGGCAACCAATAAAGGAGCAACAACATCCACGTCAACATCAGCCATCAGCAGCAAACAAAGATGAAGAACCAAGCGCGTTGTTAGCGGCTTTATTGACAGACAGAAATTTGTAGCCGACCGGCAAAAAGTTGCACATGCCGCAAAAGTTTGCTAATAAATAACATTTAGCACCAGGAGTTTGCCATAAAAACACGACCCAAAAGTGAAAGACACATCCCACATAATTATTGATTCGACAGGCGGGATATATGTAAGCAGAATTTATGATTCAGGTTGATATATGTTTGGGGATTTTGATTCTTCACTGCTAATCTATAAGAGGGCTAAAAAAACAGCAAATGTAGGTACACAACATGAAAGCTGCAATAAACAAAAATAAATTGTATTACAAATTTACCTGCCTTGGTTAGGTTTTATTTTTTATATTTTTAGGTACTTTAATTTAAAAAAAGGTGATCTACAAAATGTGGTTGTTTGTTATTAAGTTGAAAACCCTCTTGAAAATATTGGAAACCTCTAAAGGTACTACACTGATTTTATTGCACTTAATTTTACGACTACTTCATTTAGCAATTATTAACTTTTTAAATCAGTTCATTTTTTCATTAATACCAATAAAGTTAAAAAATTGCCATTCATTTTTAAATTGTCAGTCTTAGGGGATGATCAAAGGTAAAAAAAGCGGTAAAAATAATATTTTAAGCAAAATTCTTCTGATTCTGATTCTGATTTTCTATTCAATCCTGATTTATTAAGAGGTTAATAATTTTCTAAAAGTAGCCACAAAAATAAATAAATAAATTTTAGTAATCGAATAAATAATAAAGAATATAAATATATATTTCTGAGATATTGATAAATTTGAGAAAGGTATCTAGGGGCTTTAAAGCCCTGTGGCTCAGTATTTGTAATGTCCTAAATTACTGTCAGCACTGAAAGTAGTTATTATCAATGCCGTTATTCAGGGGGAGGCACGCGCGTTATGAACGCGAGTGTGTGTCGCAAATGGCGACCGCAAGTTGCGGATATTATCTGGAGGGTGTCACTTTGTCGGCAACAGATACTTAAGTGCTGTCCGGCAGCCCCAAGCGCCGCATTCCGCCACATTCCGCCGTAGTCCGGAGCGGAAGCACGCGACTACGGCGGAAATTGCTGCACATGCAAGGCACGCAGCCAGTCACTTGGTGGACCCACAAGGACTCCCTTTTTGCCCCAACACTCCTAGCATCGGGATGCCATCAGCAGCGGAATGGATCGGGAGTTTTTCGAGTTAACAAATTAAAGTAAAAATTACAATGCATGGCATGCCATAAATACGAAAGTTTAAGACCTTGACAGCCATGACCAATTGACCCAATTGTTTGCCCGTTTTTCCCGCACTTTGCATGTGCCGAGCTCGGCGTAGGTGTTTGTGTGTGCTTGTGTGGGCGGTGGTTTGCTTTTCGAAAGGGGTTCGAGGGGTTCAAGGGGTTTTTGGGCTTTCGAGTGCCCGAGCAATTGCAGCAGCCAACGTGAGAGTGGCCAAATTGAATTTGAAGCGCTCAGAACCAAAACGAAATAGGGCCATTCCCAAAGGCCTTAATCGCAGAGCCAACATTGACTTTAATTTCGCTTTGAAGCGAAGAGAGTCACTCTCTTAGAGGAACAAACTGGCTGCCTTGCTCTTTTGGCCCGTTTTTATCCGGCCAAGAGTTCGGGCCTTTTGGCTTCGGCTTGTGGACACGACCTAGGCGAACGGAAAATGGAAAAGCGGCGGGCTTTCCTCGACTGTCAGTTTGCCGCAGTCGAGCAATGAACACGCAGCGCGCGGTTTCTTCCCATTCAATCGCGAGGATAGCTCAGCCAGGATAACTCAACAATATCGTGCTCGATCCTTCGAGGGTCGGTCAAAGGTGGCCACCACAAAAGGCAAAGCACCATACAATTGCCCCGTTCAAAAAGTGATAGTGAGTGTGTGTGTATGTGTGTGTGTGTGAGAGAGGGGCACCATGAGCACCAGTGGCAAAGCGGGGTCACCACCTCCCCTTTGAACCGGTCCACGTAGATTGAGATTGTGGCCAAGCCGCAAATGCAGCGGCTAGTTGCGAATTCACAACGTGCCACGGGCAAAACACTGACACCTCCATCGCGTTCGGTCCCCCAAAAATCCAGTGTCCATCGAGCAGCAACTCGCAACCCGCAACTCGCAACCCGTAACCCGTAACCCCTAACCCGTATTCCGTATCCGTATTCCGTGTCGCGTCGCGGTTCGTTGAGCTGACAGCCAAAAATGTCGGTTTAGTTGCGCCATTATCTATATGCACACGAGTCCTGGGCTTGCAGATTGCATCCTATATCCGCGGAACGTGTCGCCATCGCCATCGTCACCGCTGGCCATGTAAGTGATATCAGAATGGGTTTTGAGTTGCCGCAGGAACTGTGTGCGCTGTGCTACCACAATAAATTACCTGGCAACTGACATGTTTTCGAATCGAAATGCAGTTGCCCCAGCCGCCTCCGGATAGGCCCTGGCGTAATTAAATTTCTGTAAATTTTATCAAAATTTACGACACACTTGCAACAGCGACAGCAGCAGCAGCAGTAACAGCAGCAGCCACTACAGCCATCAGTCTTTTTCTTTATCCTTTCGGGGTCCTCTGTTCGGTAACAATGGAGCCATGTCGAAATCGAGCCGCGGGCCATTTTGCGATGCTCCTCTGATACACGTTTTTGTGTCGAAAAATTTCAGAAAAACTAAAGCCAAACTCCATTAGGACGTAGCAAAGGCCGCATGATTTATACAAGGGTCATGCATCATATTCCTAAGCACGCCAACATATGTACGGCCTTGTGTATTTTCGGTCACCTATATAGATAATGGTATTGATCTTTTTTAACACACTTTTTGCTCAGGGGCCAGCGGAGATTTGAGCGAAAATAATAGATTTAGCCTTAATTTAAGTAATGGAAAATGTGGAGCATTTCATTAGTTATGTATTATTATTTTTCAAAGAAAACTAGTTTCAATGATGTAGGCCCCAATGTCTGAGATACTTAACATATTAATATACTTTTACTCTTTAAGGCTTAAGATATCTGTATTGCTGATTTAGTTTATTTCGCTTACCTGCCATAAATGTAGGCCATTACGTCGGTACAACCCCGAACAAATCGTAATAAATCAAAGTTCTGCTTGCTCAAAATTAGTAAAATGCAAATAACATGACAATATTAATGATTTTCCTTAGAGACATGCACACACTGCACATAATAATAAAATATGAAACAAGGCAAATACAATTCGCCTGTATATGTGGAATGTCTTAACGATGACTGGCTGCCTGCGCAGTGACGGTAAATATCGGATACCCGGTGTTTTATCAATTGCCATATCGCGTGCTCAAGCGCGCAAAAAAAATAATATCAAAAGGAGAAAAAAAAGCAAAAATTTGGTAAATGAATGTAACGAAAACGAAATTGTTGCGAGTGGCAGCCATCGAGTGGAACAATGGACTCCCGTTCCCGGAAAGTGTGTGAACCGTTTTGGCCAACAAGAAACCTGATAGCGACCCGCACAAAAGAGCACTTTCGGTTGCGAATGGCACGGGCCTTTTGCCATTTGATGGCGGCCATTAGCTATTTGCTGCCGCTAATCGAAGTTTATGTTTTGCATTCATGTAACTCCCCCAAAAAAATATTTTGTTTGAGGAGGAGGGGATTGGTGGTGGGCAAGGCCACGCCCTCGATCGACTTACTATCAACTAACATCCAGGCAAGTTCTCATGTTGCGACTGTCAGTTTAATACAAATGAACTGTTTATGTTAATAAATGAGCTCACCGGTTTATGCCACATCTTGGTGTGGGGCACGTCTCCCAAAGGGGGGTATTACATCATTAAAGCAACACCTGCTGTGAGAGAGTGTGTGTGTAGGGGGGTGGGGGTGGGGTGGTGTGTGTGTCAATGTCAAGAGGCGCCTAGCTATATCCCTAGTAATGTGGCAAGCAAATTACAGCTAATTAACATTTATTTTTTTTTCAATTTGTGCCACAGATATTTGGCCAGGATTCTCTAAAAGAATACACTCAAGCATAAGAAAGTGGATTCTTTTCTTAAAAATTATATTTTCATTAAAGACTTCCTTAAATTATATGCTTTTAATAATTTAAGAAATGTCAAAAATTTAAATATAAGTAAAGTTCTCTGGCAGAAACTGTAATTTTTATTTGTTGCTTGTGGCACGCAACCTTGTTCTCTTTTAAAACTATGCAAAACAAAATGTAATATAATACTTTTTGTCCTGAAAATTTGTATTGTACAAAATAAGCTTATAGAAAGCTGGCAAAAACAAGTTTACCTTAAAGCCTTTTATTCGAAATAGCCTGTTGAGTATGTGAGTCCCTTAATTCAATGCGTTTTTTAATGGTTAATAGTAAAATAAAATTGTTTTTGTGTATTTCCATTAAACAATTTCAAATCCCTCTAAGCAATCGAATATAAGTTGTAAAGTTTAAGGAGTTTGATTGATCAAATTTGGTTTAACCATTAGTTCGAAAGAGAGACATTCTAATATAAAAGAAAATGTAAAACAGGATATCTAACAGGATTAAATGCTAAGAGCTACTGGTTATCTCACAGTGCTGCCAGCTGAAAGCCGACCGTGAGAGTCTTTGCCGCTCTGTTGGGCGTTTAATAGCCGGAAATCTGTCTATTTCCGCTTGCCGTGGCGTTGATTATACTTAATAGATGACCGGCTGGAGCTCCCTCTCCTCGGATGCCTGCTAATTTTTCTTTTCTGCTGCTTTTTGCCTGATACTCGAGTATTAGTCGAGCTGTAATTATGCTCTAATTATATGCCAGTGTGTGTGTGTGTGTTCGTATGTGGGCCTGTGGCGAAAGGAAAAATCTCTGCTGCGATGTAATTACAACCCAAGTGGTGCCTCCTCCGCCCGATTGCGACTTTAATCCTCGTTTCTTTTTTCCTTCTTTTCCTTTTTTTTCTGTTCAGCTGCTCGCCAGGGAATCTGGCGGCAGGTGAGGCCATCCAGATAGTGGTGGCCCAATTGAAGGTCCTTCGGAATGGCCGAGTGGCCTTGCATGTGTTTAATTGGGCTGTCACTTGTGGGAAATTATCATTGTTAACCACAAATAATTGTCTATATTTATACAAAAAGTTGCAATTATGATTCTTCTCTCTCTTTTCAGGTGAACTGTAAAACAAACAATTAAAAGCTACAAATCCAATTAATAACCAATAAAGTTTAAGGTTCAAAACCAATTAATGTAAAAGAAAAAATTTAATTAAAGTTATAACTTTAACGATACATATCAATGTTAGTCTGATTTTCCTTTAATACTATTAGAGCCACAAATATTTATTAAATGCCAATAAACATATCACGATATTTAAAGTGCTAAGATTGATTACAAATAATAGAGTTAAAAGGATATCCTAGAGCAATTAAATCGATTTAAGATTCCGAGATTGAAGTGAAGTGATTAAAGCAAAAACAAGGTGGCAAAATAAATCTTTAATTAAATCGACTGTGTAGAAGGATGCATTTTAATTGAATGGAAATAAGGAATCACGCGAGTTTTCCTCTATAACACGCACATCGGTGTCGCGCAAAATCGCTTTGTCATGTAATGTCTTTATGCCTCTCAGCGGATCAAGTGCTTAGGCGATAAGGAAAAGCAGCTGCCAGGCTCCTATCCGGATTTATATGAATAAATGAAGGCACGCATGCTACGGCCGTAAGCCAAAGTTGAAGGAGGCCTAGAATTCCATCGCACAGCGGATTAGCTGCAACATAAAGGCACAATACACAAAGGCCCTGAAATAGAGAGAAAAATAAACCGGGGAAAAGCAGCAGGAAGGCGGGATTTGGTGCCCTCCATGACGTCGACAGTGTGTAAATGGGCAAGCAATTAAGCCGTTAACGATGTGCCCGCTCTCAAAGGCGCCACCCAGGACCAGGACCTCCCCAATCCAGATCGCCATAGAAAGCCAGATAGAGTCCTTTACGAGCAAAAGCAAACCTATGAAAAATGCATTCAGCTGCGCTGTGTCCAATGTCGCTGATTAATTCCAAGTAAGTTGATGAGTTTGTGCTTTTACGCTCCTTTTTAACGAGTTCCACTCGGGCACTTTACGAGACTGACGGAGATCCAGACAACGCGTTAATTTCTGGTAATCATCACGGGTTTAAAACGAGAAGATAGGGTTGAAAGAAGTGCAGGAAATATAGTCGCCGATTCTCGGAAAAATTACTCATTCGCAGAATTAAGGGAACAAGCTTGGAATAAACATTTATAAACTATGATGTAAACGAACAAAAACAATGGCAACCTTTGTGGAATTTTCATATATATTTTAGTTGATCCTTTATAGGTTTTATCTCATTTAAGATATACAAAAAACAAAAATATTAAAGCCACTAATAATCAAGTATTTGCTTACTTATTTAAGCTTTCCTTTTTCATTGAAAGAAAACCTGTTACATTTTAATTAGCTCACGTAAAGTAAAATAAATTTTGTTTGTGCAAATTGTGTATAACCCCCCATTTTTACCGATTTTTTATTCTTCATGGTCAACATTGTAACATTGCATTCAACTCGTATACAAACACAGCACCATGTTAAACTCATAATAAATTCGTATCCTTTATGCTCTTGCAACCAGCAATCAAACAATTTTCTGGAAAATGTTCCTCATTTTATATATGTAATTTCGTTTTTAAAATTAGATTACAGACATTCGCCTGTGGGTAAAGTACAAAATGGCAGCATACTCTTCAGCTCTCATCAAAAATGCGAACAAATTTGTAAAGAGATAGCAACGAGCCGGCAGCGGGAAGTTTTTTGGTAGCTAGCGTTGCTATTATTATTAGCATGGTTGGTTGTACTAAAAACACAACACTGAAAATACGAGTTATTTTAGAGCGCAGGCTACCGAAAGGATTCGAATGGCAGGAAGCCCCAAGGTCTGTGTTTTCATAGAGCATCGGCGTGAATTGTGTGTGTTGTGAGTGGAACTGGCATGTCGTTTGCCAAAAATCGGACAGCCAGACAAATACATGCAAAACTTGAAAGCGAAATCTTGGCAGCACGGCCTCTGAAAGTCATCTAATTCTCTCAATTCAAACACTTTTACCTAAGCCGCACTCACAAACAAGACCAAACATCGGATCTTGTTTGTTGGCAGCCATTGAAAAGTTAGTAAACTGAATGCGAAAGCCAAGCCCAGTGATATCTGCACTGGGAAAAATATTATGAAAACTATTTAGAGTGTAAACAAGAATTAGTTTTCTAAAACCCATTTACTTTTGATAACTCTTCTTGGCGGATAATGTTTTATTCGCTTGTTTTATAGTTATACTCCAAAAAATCAAATAAGTACATTTTACCTAACTCTTTATATTATTTTGGGGATGATATCATAATAAATCGATGGAGTAAATAATGTTTATATTTATATGATCTTTAAAATCTCCATTTTATAGTTTTTAAACATATGAACATATAACATTTTTTCCTGATTAGGTTGTTACTAGTCGTATACTTGATTTGGGATTCTTGTTCAGCTTGCATATAAAGTAAGCCGAAAAGTCTGATAAACAATTCGTGTAAATGATTTTGGTATGAAATATAACTTTTTGTGTACGCAACACTACACTTTGTATTAGTGCTTAAATATTGAAGACCTTCAATTGAAAATTTCTAATAAATCGTCTAATCAAACTGGAAAAAACTTCTTTCCTTTTGAACTGCAATCATTTTGAGTTGACTGTAACACTCTGAATTATTACTTTTAAGTAAGGGATACTTGACTTTTTTACTCTGTATGGCAACATGGAGAGGCCAGAAGTAAGAAGCCCGGCCTAAAACAGGCAATTCATAGGCAGCTCGGATTCAATGGCGCTCATTCACCGGCTTAGACTTTCCCACTTTGGTATGAGGAAAGTGTGGCACACATATGTATATGTGTGTGCAGGCAGGCGAGAGGGAGGGGGTGGTGTATAAATCAAGCACACACACATGCATGCACACGGGTGGGCGGTCTCCTTGGCCCACCCACCAATGCTGCAGCCGATGGCGCTTAAAGGCATTTTCGCAAAAGTTTTTGACTTGAGCATTTCAATCGCCTGTTTTATTGCTCACATATTTTATGCCGTTTATGCTCAAAATTCAGCTCAACATACGCGACTTTGGCTTTACACAAAAACAGCAGCAAGGAGCTGCCTGTCTGTATATCTGAGTGTGTGTGTGTGAGTGTGTGTGTGTCTTTTGTATCGGTGTGTGTCCTGCGGCGTTGAGCAAGTAAAAGCAACTCTTGCCAGCGCTGAGGAAAAACCGCAATGCGGCACATTATGCGCGCTGGAATTCCCTCAAGTCCCTTTCATTCCCCGAAAGAAAGAGGGAAAACGCAGTCGCGAAAGAAATGCGCAAATGTTTGTCGCTCCCGCCCCCGCCTTCGTCTTTTGCCCATTTTTTGGGGGCGTGGCCAGCGGTCGGACATGGCTATTTGACTGCATTTTCCCGCCAACTGATAAACTGGGTGCTTGCTCCGTGTATTTGCCTTGTGGTTTTCCGTTTGCTTTGCCCAGCTTTGCTTTCAAAAAAAAAACATTTACAACTAATTAATGTTTTTGTGCGTGAAAATGTATTTTAATTGTGCAACTGCTGCCGTCGACATTGCGGTTAGGTAAATATTAATGTTGCCTTCGGTGCGTTGACATTGCTTTAAATTCCCATCTGCCGACGACAGTTGAGCCTTTAGCCTTTTCCTGAGCTGGAGGTTTGCGGACTGGGGATTGGGGTTTTCCACTTTTGATTGAAATGTTTGTCAAGTTTATTTGCCCCGGGCTGCCTGAAATGATTTGCCAGCCAGGCCGGCAACAATGTAAACACTTTTATGTCCTCAGCAGAGATGAGATGAAACAGGGCCCAACGACCATGAGAAAGGACTCAAAGGCATTTCGGCCTTAGCTTGGTTCAATTAAGACAAAGCTCCTTTGGCCGACTCACTTATTGATTTTCATTCACTAATGAAAAGTGAACATAAAAAGCAAAAGACACTTAACCCTTTTATTGAATCGGCCACGCAATCTGCCGATGACGTCAGATAGTGCCTGACTAAAGGACAGACTAGCCGATCGACTGACTGCCTGACTAACTGACAGAATGACGGAGTGACAGACTGGCGACTGACTTCACCAACAGCACCGGCAACAGCTTGGTTCAGAGCCTCCCAAGTGGTGGCCCTCTCCCACTGAAATAACACTTTAAAAACCAGGCACTGACACACTGAGGGAACGTGCCTACACTGAGCGAAAATATTTACCTTAGATCTACATATAAATGTTTAAATCTGAGACACAGATAGTAATGGGTAAAGGAAAAGAGGCAAATAACATCTATGAAATGTAGTTTGAATCGATTTTAAGGATTGCATTGTTTCGGATGTAAGAAACCGTAAATAAAATGAATTTATCTTTATTTAAAATAAATATTTTATTTAAATTTAATAAAACTAAATTATCATTAACTGAAATAAGTTCATATTGGATCTTTCTTAATATTTTAACATTATATACAAATATGATTATCACTTGATAAAAATTCCTTAATAATTTAGGGTAAATAGTTTTTATTCACTATTAATTAAATTTTAGTAAATTTTTAAACTTATTTTCTATAATAATGATATATAATAATTACTAGACTTAAATTAAATACAATTATACTACATTTTCTTATTTGAAAAATAAATTAAAGAAAAAAATTAGTTTGTGATAAGTAATAACCAACGGTATCCTAAATTTAAGTCGAATTTTTATAAAAGTTTAGGTTTCAAATAAATTTATTTCTTTTAGCTTTGTCATTTATTCGTTTTGTACAGAATCTATTCAGTTAATAGGAAAGTATTGAGTGTGAAGGGAAATGTTTTTCGCCCAGTGCCTGTGGGTGTCAGTGTTTGAGGACGTGTTCGTGTCTGACTGCCTCTCGAAGCGCACACAGCACGCCTTTGGTCGGGAAGGGGCTTTTAACCCACATAATAATTACTGTACTGAAAGGTTACCACGGTCGAATGCGAAAAGTTCGAGTCGATAATTGCAGCGGCTGTTTGGGCCGTGGTAAGCGATTGTTAAATATGTGTATTTGCCGAGGGGTGTCTTATAATCGGCACTACTAATTGCTCCCGGCTGTTTCCCCCATGTAAAGACCGGCCGCCTTGATTGTCGAGCTACGCATCGATGGCTTTGAATTCGGTTTGCTTTCGTTTTTGGAATTTCAACGGGAGTTTGGTATTTCGCATTCGCGATTGAGTGAGTAAGCAATGCGCGGTCGGCTGCATGTGCCACTTCCGCTTGATAGCGTCATGGTTCCGGCTCCGTATCCGTATCCGCAGCGAGTGGGTGGTGCTTGGAAGGACCTAACGGTTTTTTTTCGCATTCCAGGACATACCCGCTGCACTGGAATAGAACAACGTTTGCGTGACATTTGCACGTTAGTGGCGAAATGCGTTTGTTTTGTGGGGAAATGCCACATCGGGACCGCTTTTGGCATTCCTCACTGTGTTCGCAGGACTTTATTAGTTGTTTGTCTGTGGGACAGGCATACGCCAACTTTTATGATAGGCCAGCTATTAATAGCCAGCCAGCGAATGCGGGCCAACTTTGCACAGCAATTTGTATAATTTAAACAATTTGGTTTAATTTTTGAATGGTACTTCAGCTGCAATTGTTTAAAACTCGCCTTCGCAGGACTGCTGACCACTTGGCGCTGAAATGTAGGCAACACTTTAATCTCGAGATCCCGAAGGAACCGCTCTGCGGTTGTATTTACTATGTGTGTGTGTGTGTGTGGGGGTATGTGCGTGTGTGCGGTAGTGTGTGTGTGTGTTTGAAAGCAGAAAATGCATTTAGTATGCAAACAAAATGGGCACAAAACTGTCGTTATTTATGCAAACCTAACTTCTGCTCTTTAGAAATTATTATTTCGCTCCTTTTACATTCGCCTCTTCTGTTTTTTTTTTATTTTTTGTTTATTTCAACCAGCCCGTTGTTTCTCTTGCTGTTGCCAGTTGGT